ATAGGTGGCAAACATAAAGTTTTCAGCGAAAACAAAGAATCATCCTCCAGTTGATCAAGGTATAATTCTTCTGTACAACCCTGTAAGTGGTGAGACCTTAAGAAACCTTCACGAGCCGAGTCACTACATACAGTTATTGTTAAGGCATTCAAATATTTCAAGCACTCCAAGCACTCAAGTCTGCTGAAGTTGACATTCCCATTTATCACTCTACTGGCGCAAAGACCAGTCCTCCCCATCCGCAACACTTGCAGCCTTGAAAAACCACAAATCAGTTTTTCAGGGACTGTCTCAAGATTCAATGTTTTCTCCAAGTTCAAACATTTCAACTTTGATAAGCTACCCAACTCCATTGGCAACTCTCTTATTAAAGTACCACTGATATTGAGACACTGCAAGGAAACTAAATTTGAAATCCCCATTGGCAATTCTGTTAAATACAGATTCTTTGACAAGTTCAAAACTGTTAGACTAACCATATTTTGGAAAAAGTCCTTGGCTAACCTCATTGATTGCAAATAATTTTTTTCGAGAAATAAGGTTTGGAGATGATGACAACTAGGTGTTCCTCTTAGACTCTGAATCTTATTGTTCATCAATGACAATCTTTTTATCATCCCCCAATTTTCAATCTCTGGTGCTTCAGTTAATTGGGCACTAGTTTCCACTATATATTTTTCCTTTTCAATTTCACTCGCTATCCACAAAGCCATGTCACGAATCACGTCATGCATCTTCACATGCTCAACATCAACTTCTTCTAATAAACATGAGTCAAGAAGAGTACAAATAATGTTATGGCCTTCATTGCGATCACAAATACTGTCATGTTCATCTAGAAATCCTTCTGCAATCCAATAGTCTATGAGCTCCCATTTTCTTATCATAAATTCTTCTGGAAACAAAGTGCAATATAAGAAGCATGATTTAAGCTTGTCATCAGGCAAACTGTCATAACTGAATTTCAAAAGTGGATACACCTCTTTCCTCATACCTTGAAGTACATGATTAGCAACTGACCTCCTTAGAATCCGTCTTGCATATTCCCATTGTTCAAGTGTCTTCTTGGATGACATAGCCCGACCTATGGTGATGAGGGCAAGAGGCAGACCCTTGCACTCTTCTGCCATTTCCTTTGCTAGTCCACGGATTTGTGGGTGGCTATCAAGGTTTTCTTCTCCAACTTTTATTTGAAACAATTCCCAGGCTTTCTCTGGCGCCAAACAATCTACCATAATCTTCTTAGGAGCTTCCATTTGACCACACACATCAAGCGAACGAGTAGTAAAGATAAGCTTCGAACCACGTCCCTGTCTTGGAATAGGTATCCCAACTTTAACTAAATCAACTCGTTCCCATATATCATCCAAGAGCAACACAAATTTCATTTTACTCAACACTGCCAAGATGTCAATAGCTTTTTCATCGTAACTTTTTTGTTTCCATCTTCGATCACTATAACCAATCTTTCTTCCAATCTCATCCTGAACTTTTTCGATAGTGTGATTTTTAGACACAGTTGCCCAAATCACAATATCAAAATTATTTCTTCGCCGTTGCAACTCATTGTTAATTTGAATTAAGAGAGTTGTCTTCCCGACTCCACCCATGCCATAGAGGCCAATGATGTCGCTGCCTTCATCAGTAAGGCATGTCCAAACCTTGCCAAATATTGACTCCAAACCCACTGTAGGCTCACTGGGTCTTACATCCACTGGAGCAGCTGGCCGCCTCTCAGCAACGTCAAGAAAATCTCCTTCGGTTCTTAGATTAGCCACATCTCTAGTCTTTTGTACTACTTTTTTCCCAAACTTGTAGCTTGAACTGCAGCTCTTGGAAAAGTAACCTCCAAGGCACAAATTATTAATTTGTGCAGGAGCATCTTCTATTATCTGCTCAACTACTTTTATCTCTTTCTCCACTCTTTCAAGCCATCCTTCTACCCTTTTAAGGGGCTCCATGAGCTGCTCCTTTGCAAGAAGAACCCTCCTATTCACATCATCACTTTGCTCTGTCAATCTTTTTGCCTCAGCCCCCAAAGCTTGAAGATTTTGTTCAAGCTTGCAAATGTATCGTGCTTTTCCAGCAACACAGTCCCAGGATCGACTAACAGCTTGATCTACCGAGATGGATAAAGAGAGACAGTTGCCCATGGTTTGCTCAATAATTGATTGAGAGAGCTTCAAACAAAGTTTTTTTCTTCTGAAACAGGTGAGAATTAACTATATAAGATTAGATTAGATAAGATTTATAGAATAAGATATGGCTGAATTAAATATGATAAAATATATTACAATTTAATGATATGTTTGGATGATGATGGGATTATGTTGGATTCGATATAACAAAAATGTCCTTAAATTACAATCAAACCAATACTGCTAATTTTCTATTTTAATTTGTTTTTTAATAGTTAAGTTATGCATTAATATTAATAAAATTAATTATCATTATTTAATTGAACATAACTAGAACAAAATCCCAATTACGCGGTTTTAATTATCATCCAAATTTCCCATCATTTTCTTAAAAACGAAACAGACAAGCCACCAAAGCATTCAAACAAACCCAGTTCATATGCATTTTCAAGTAAACTAAAATTTGAATGAAAAATATGTCCATTTAAATGAAAATTCGGC